GGTGGCGGTCCCTTGCCGGGAAAGAAAAAAAAAAAAAAAAAAAAAAAAAAAAAAGATGGCTAGATTCTCTTCCAGACTGCGAAAATTAAAATTAATCTATACTATGGTTGAAATACTACATACTTGTTTATAATCAAAACAAGCAAACATCACTATGGAAATCCCAAGGTGAGATGGGGAGCACAGGGAAAAGATCCATTTAGACAACTTAGATGATTTAAATTAGTACAAGATGGTTATTCTCTATTTTCTAAAGAAAGCATACATTTACATACAAATCCGTATTCAACATAACAATAACATTTCTAAAATACAGAACCCCCTTAACCTAAAGAGATATGCCACAAACCTTTGTGTATTAAAAAGTGCATCGTATAAAAATGATTTCATTTTTATTACAAGAAAAAAGATTAGGGGCCGCCCTGGTGGCGCACTGCTACAGTGTGCCACTTGGGAGCGCGGCAGCGCTCCCGCCGAGGGTTCGGATCCCACATACAGACCGGTTCCCGCTCACTGGCTGAGCGAGGTGCGGGTGCAACACTGAGGGTTGCGATCCCGTTGACGGTCCCGGTCCGGTACGGGCGTGACACTGAGGGTTGCGATCCATTGCCGGACACGAAAAAAGACAAAAAGGAAAAAAAAAAAAAAAAAGAAAAAAGATTAGTCTATTTTTGAAAAGGTACTATTTACAAACCTCATTCATTTTTTCTTCAAATTCAGCCAAAGCCTTAGAGCCTTTCTTTTTCTTTTCTAGTTGCTCTTTCACTTCTTCCCTTAAAAAATCAAAGGTACAAATAAAATTTCAAGCAATTTAAATTACATGGATACTTACAAACAACAAAAATTTCATAATCTTTTCTAAATATTTTAACACACCTCCACTCTGACGTTAATACATTTCAAGTTTCTTTGTTTACTATCATAATAAAGCCTATCAAATAACACTAATCACTCCTCTTCTAAACATGGATTACAAGAGCTAATGCACCAAACATCTGAGCTCTTATATACAACGGGCACTATTTTACATATATTTTCATTTAATCTTCACAACAACCCTGTGAAAAAGGGTAGTATCTACCCCCATTTTACAGATAAAGAAACTGAAGCTTGGAGACGATAAGAGATCTGCCTAAAGTCATAAAGTTGGAAATTTCAGTGCTAGGTGAGCTAAGGTCTCCTTGACTGAACTACTGTATTCTATTACTAAAGCACCCATTTTATGAGGTACCAGACATGCTGTGCAAAGAGTTAATATAACATGCCTAAACTGCTTATTCTTAGAAAGCCCTGATTATGAGACTGGCCCTGAGTGGGCATCTGGGAACTTGGACTTTGCAGGTTTCTGATGATTCCCTGATAAGAGCAGCTCCGGGAACTTGGATTTTGGAGGGTTTTTATCATTCCCTGATATGAATAGCTTGCTCACTGTGCCTTAACTGTTTGTAGAGACAGTGTAGTTTAGGCTGAACACCTGCTTTCCTCCTAGGAATCTGAAATTTTGGCATGTGACAGGCAGAGGCTAACCAGCCTCTAGTAAAAACCTAAGCACTGAGTCTCTAACGAGCTTCCCTGGGGGCGGGCTGGCTGGTTAGCTCAGCTGGTTAGAGTGTAGCCTTATAACAAGGTCACAGGTTCAGATACCTGTATCAGCTAGCTGCCAAAAAGAAAAGAAAGAAAAGAAAAGAAAATGATCTAATGAGCTTCCCTGATTGGCAGCATCTTACATGTGTTTTCACAATTCCTTGTGTGCTTTGTATGATTCCACTAGGAAAGGATCCTTGGAAGCCTGTGCCTGGTCTCCCCTGGATTTCACCCTATGAGCCTTTTCCTCTTGCTGACTGTGCTTGGTACTCTTTCACTGTAACAAATCTTACCACGACTATCTGCTGAGACTCCTGTGCATCCTCCTACAAAATAGCAACCTAAGGTTTGTTTCAAAGACCTCTGACACACAGGTAATACACTTGTTTCAGCATTACCCCTTTAGAGGTCATTCCCTCTCCCAATTTTAAAGATAAAATATATTTTGTTTGGGGGTAATTTATTTTCTGGTATGCTGCAATGGTTAACAACAGCACTCATGAACACTGCAAGAAGCAGACAATGCTTACTTCCTATTTAACTTAAAGTAAGGATTCCCTATTATATAAATAAGAAGGTATTTCAAAAAGTTCATGGAAGGACTTGTATTATCTTTTAATTCCATTTTTCCACAAACTTTTTGAAGTACCCTCACATAAGTGCATTTTTCAACCACAGTAGCCCAGCTTTCAGAGGCACTTAGAAAAATTTTGTTGGTAACAACTCCAAAGCTTGTCATATATCACTTCAGTAGTATGGTATTAATAATACAGAAGTCATACAAAAAAATACTAAGGCCCGTGTTATTATGCTTTATTTACAAAAGATCAGAGTCACTCAATCAGTTTTTCTAACTCTCTGAAAAGCCAGCAGATAAAACTAGAAACAAAGCTGAACACTATCCCTCCTAACACACCTAGTTGTGCCTCAGTAAAGGGTAAGATTATTCAATCCCACTATTTTAAATAGCTCAGAACACACTGCAAGGCCAAGATCTTTTAGACACCAGAGAACAGAGTAGCATGAAATGGTTACCTGGCAATGCTTCAAGTATATTGGGTGGTCGGAAAAGTTTGAGAAAATGTTTATCTCACAGATGTACATGTGTCTCATACATTCAAAAGAAAGCATATGTCAAATATTACTACAAAAAGTTACTTAAGCTATCTGGCAATTGCTTAGCAATCAATAAAAGTTGTAAGAATAAACTTTAACAAGTTTATAAAAAGCTTATAAGCAGGTAAATTGTTTCAAAAATACCAGGTAGGCCTTGGTCGATTCAGATAATCCTGGATTGTTGGCCCTGAAGACTGGATTGGACCCCTTGATCTGGCCATTGCTATTGGGTTCATGTAGGCCTTGAGGAAAGAACAAAAATTTATTCCATTAAAGTAACCGTTAAAAATGCAAAAGTTAACTTACTCATCAAGTAATCTTTATTATAAATGCATACTACATCCAACTCAGCATGAAGAATCTGAGTAACCAGCTTTCATCATAAAAAATAAATTTAACCCTCTATTCAGCCTTGAAAGTTTGGGAGATAACTATTATCGGTATTTCATAGGAAATGTGCTTTTTATCAGAGATTTGATGAAATGATAATGACACCTCTTACCTACTAATGGCTTTATACTACTCTCTGCTAAAGCCCAATAAACCTGAAAGGGTAATAACACTATGCTCACTAGCAAATTAAGAAACTCAATTCCAAAGAAGTTAAAAACATCTAACCCTAAATTCACTGCGTATTCAACTGTACATTCCATCTCAGGAAGTACTGTGCCATACTGATGGCAATTTTATCTGCGAATTGTTAATATCAAAAATTAAATAATACCCAGGCAACAACATAAAAATAGATAGGACTTCATCAAAATTAAAAACATTTGTGCATCAAGGGGCACTATCCAAATCATGAAAAAACAATTAACAGAATGGAAGAATATATTTGCAAATCATATACCTGATGACAGATAAATATCCAGAATGCATAAAGAACTCTTATAACTCAACAACAACAAAAAATCCAATAACCCAATTCAAAGATAGGCAAAGGTCTTGAATAGACATTTCTCCAAAGATATGCAGTAAATGGACGATAAGCACATGAGAAATTGTTCAACATCACTAGTAATTAGGGAATTGCGAATCAAAACCACAAGGTGCCAATCTACACCCGTCAGGATGGTTATTACCAAAAAAACAGAAAATCACAGGGATTGATAAGGATGTGGAGAAATTGGAATCCTTGTGCGTTGCTGGTGGGAATGTAATATGGTATGGCTGATGCGAAAAACAGTTTGGTGGTTTCCCAAAAAGTTAAACACAGAATCACGTGATTCAAGAATTCCACTTCTAGTATGCACCCAAAAGAAATGAAAACAGGGACTTAAATAGATACTTGCACACAAATGTTCACGACAGCATTATTCACAATAGCCAAAAGGTGGAAACAACGCAAATGTCCATCTATGGATTAATGGATAAACAAAATGTGGTATAAACACGTATGATAAAGGTAAGCAAAATGAAAAAAACTCAACCACAATACTGCCACTCCAATTCAGAGAACTGAATTAATTGCTCTTATGTAAAAATTCGCAAATAGTACAGTGGGAATTTTTCATTCTAATTTTTAAAAAAGCATTTCAAAATTTACCACGTTTTGGGCAGACCCCGTGGCGCACTCGGGAGAGTGCGGCGCTGGGAGCGCAGTAGTGCTCCTGCCGCGGGTTCAGGTTCTATATAGGAATGGCTGGTGCACTCACTGGCTGAGCACGGTGCGGCCGGTCTCATAAAAAGACAAAAAAAAAAAAAAATTTACCACGCTTTACAGTTTTCAAATTTTCTACCCTATATCTTAAAAGTACATTAACATTTTTATGTGTCTTAATGTCTACTGTCAAACTACTTGGCCAAAGTACATACCAACCTATCTTACTTTTGCTTTTCAGAGGAACATAATAGTCAAGTAGTATATTCACATGCTAGGACTACTAATCACAGGCAATTTATAGTACCAGTGTTAAGAGGTATTGTTGAAGTAACAAGGCTTACATTTAAACTACTGACCATGGAGGACCGGCCCGTGGCTCACTTGGGAGAGTGTAGTGCTGATAACACCAAGGCCACGGGTTCAGATCCTACATGGGGATGGCCGGTTCGCTCACTGGCGGAGCGTGGTGCTGACAAAACCAAGCCAAGGGTTAAGATCCCCTTACCAGTCATCTTTAAAAAAAAAAAAAAAAACGAAAAAAAACTATTGATCATGAAGACTATCCTCAATCTGCTTAAGTACACTCCACATAGCTTCATAATTTATTTCAATTATAATAGCAATATTTATTAAGTGCATCATACCTGCTAGGCTCCATGCAAAACACCTGATAGTCTGTGCTCTTAATCATTAAACAACAATGCTTCTTTTTACTATACACAACAGAAAGTTTTTTTAAAACTAAAATAACTGCTCTATAGAGGAAAAGGCATTTTTCACTTATGCATAAGTGTGAAAAATAATGCTCCTAACAATAAGGGGGTGAGGTGGTTAAGCGTTAGTTAAAATATAGAAATTGTGCTATTTCTTGAAACATCTCATTGTGACTTAATCATTTTAAATACTGTGACCTTGTAGATCGAACATGCATATATTCATAGAACTAGAACTGTCTGTGGCTCCAAACTGCTGTATGAGTTTGGGTAACAGAAAACTATTTGTTTTTGAAAATCAGAATGGCAGGAGGCCCATGGGACAGCTCAGCTGGCTAGAGCTCAGCCTTGTTAACACCAAAGTCATGGGTTTGGATCCCCATACTGGCCAGCCACCAAAAAAAAAAAAAAAATCCAGAATGGCACATTGGACTCAAGGGGATATGTATATATATATATATATATATATGAGCAGATACAAAAAGAGCAATGTAGTAAAACTGGTAAAGACAAAATGTGCAGAATTTCTTTGATTACCTGTTTTTATCTAGAGGATACATCTATTTTGGAGAGCACAAAGTGACAGAAAAGAACTTGAAGAAAACTTCAGGAAAACCAGAAGCAAAAAGGGTGGAATCATGAACTTAAGGGCCCTTTTCAAATCCCAAGGATTAAAATGTTCAGTTAAAAAAACTATTTGAGAATGCACCAAGAGTGAACCCTAATGTAAACTATGGACTTTGAGAAATGATGATGTGTCAAGGTAGGTTCATCACTTGTAACAAATGTACCACCCTGGTGCCAGATGTTGATAAGGGGGGAGACTGTACATGTGTGGGGTATAAGGAACTCTCTGTCCCTTATTTGCTCAATTTTGCTGTGAACCTAAAAACAAATATACTTTATATTTTAGTTTTAATTGTTCAAACTGAAATTTAATGGCTGTGTTTTTTGGGGGGGAACAATCCTATCATCATTAAAACCATGATTTTAGTGACTGGCAGGTTAGCTCAGTTGGTTAGAGCTCGGTTCACAACACTTGAGCTCAAGGATTCAGATCCCTGTACCAGCCAGCTGCCTAAATAAATAAATAAATAAATAAATAATAAAACTATGATTTTATCATCAATGTAAGAAACAACCCAAAATGTTTTCAGCAATAAAAAAAAAAGCCAATATTTTCTGAGACAAACATTCATTTTGTTACCAAAAATCCAGAGTTATGGCTAAAAAGATCTAAAAAGATCAGTGGTTGCACCAATTACAGGGGAGGGAAAAATGACAAGGCAGAGCACAGAGGATTTTTAAGTCAGTGAAAATACTCTATGATACTATCTATAATGATGGATGCTGTCATAAATTGTCTGAACCCATAGAATGTACAACACTAAGAGCAAACCCCATTGTAAACTGCTGACTTATGGGTGATAACATGTCAATGTAGGTTGATCAATTACAACAAATGTACCATTCTGGTAAGGGATGTTAATGATGGGGAGGCTATGCACATGTAGGAGCAGGAAGTATAGGGGTTATCTCTGTACCTTCCTTTCAATTTTGCCATGAACCTAAAATTGCTCTAAAAAAAAAAAGGCCTTAAAAATATCTAGAGTTATGATGTACTGAACTGTTAGATGACACAAGTTTTGGTCCTAGTTTAAACAGTCCCATCTCCTGTTGTTTTCTATCTCTTAAATTCATGTTTTCATTCCCACAATCTCTGAAGTGCCGACAAAATGTTACAGAGCTCTCTGTGCCATGAGAGAGTATCAAAAGCAGTAAGTAGAGCCCAGACTTGTTACCAAAACGATCCAGTAAATGAAGCTAATTTGATAAGTTTTTCAAATGGTTTAAAGGGATGTGTAAACCAAAACTTTTTTTTTTTTCCAGTAAAATGAAATATTTTAGGTCCCTGTACAAAATTGCACCCAAGGTCAGGTGATTTCTAAACATTTAAGGCCCACAGGCATTAAAAGAGCCCAAACCCTCCTACCACTTAAAACCTAAGGATGCTCCAGCATAACACCATTTCAGCTCTATGATAATCAAGATACGACAATGTGTAACCTGCAGCCAAGAGAAAAAAACATTCTTCAATCTCATAATCAAGGTTCACTACCACTGGGGTTCCTACACATTTTCAATTATGAAGACTATAAAAATTAAAACAAGTGTTTTTAAGATGGCAATGTCATCACTTCATTAAAAATAAGGCTCATTTCTCAAATACACACAGTATCGCACAAATAATCGTTGAACAAAAAAGCTAGTATATTAAATGTACAGACAGTACCCAACTTAGGACGCTTCGACTTAAAGTTTTTTGACTTTAAGATAGTGTGAAAGCAAGACTCATTCAAGTACCCATAATTTTGTGGTTCTCACTTTCAGTACAGTATCTAACAAATTACATGAGATATTCAAAACTTTACTATAAAGTAGGAATTATGTCAGATGACTTTGCACAAGTATAGGCTAACGTAAGGGTACTGAGAACGTTTAAGTGATGCTAGGCTAAGCTATCATGTTCGGCAACTTACCTATATTAAATGTACTTTCGACTTAACGATATTTATTTTCAATTTACCATGGGTTTATCGGGAGGTAACTCCATCATAACGTGAGCAGCATCCGTAGTACATGAGCTTTAAGCGTATTTTCCTCATTTTGCTGCTCAGTGGTTAAAACGGTCACAGACAAGCCCAGGAACTGTCAGACTGCAACCTAATCTTACTACTTTTACCCTGTGTTTACAAAGCCCAACCAATCTGATTCATAACCCGGGCTTTTCCAACCAACCCCACCCCCCCAGCGATCTGGAATACTTTCATCCCATCTCCACCCGGCAAAAGTACCTTTTCTTTTCAATGCCCTCAGAACCCCGAATACCTCGAACACCAGGTGTCATTTCTTACTCTTTCAGCTATGAGTTATTCATACATCTCTTTTATCTCATTTACTCGAGTAGTAGTGACAAGCCCTCGTTCGGGTATCTTGTCTTTTGTGGTCCAACTATTCTGCACGGTTATGGATAACAACGATCCCCTTTTACAAAGGAAGAGACGGAGGCTCAGAGAAGAAAAGTAACTAGTCCCAGGTCACCTGACTCCCGAGGAACCAACATTCCAGTCTGAGCCAGACTCCACAGCCAACTATTTTCACGCCACGCGTTCCTTTGCCAGGCAGCCCTGGAGACACCAAGGCAAACGCTGCGATCCCGGTTCTCAAACGGGAGCCCTCCTGTCGCTAGAGTCGGAGGCGCTGCTGGTCCCCGGAACAGGGCCGCGTCCGAGGCCTCCGCTCCTCCAACCCCCCCCTCCCCCCGGGTGCCTGAGAGGAGAGGGGCGCGGCGCGCGGGTGGGCGAACCTGAGGAACCGGCCAGCCCTGGCAGCTCTAAAGTGGACGCTGCTGGCCCGAGTGTGGGAGGGAAGGGAGCCAGGGAGCAGTGCCACAGGGAGCGGCGGGGTGCGGGGATGAGGAAAGGCGAGGGCGGGGGAGATCGCTGGGGACCCCAAAGCGCCAACCGCCGCGCGGCGCACGCGCATCTGGGACCGGCGGAGGGTGCTGGGTCTGCGGGCCCCGAGTCCGAGCGCCGCCGCTGGCCCTCTGGCCCGGCGGGGAAAGACGAGGGCTCCCGCTCTCCTGCCACTGGGCCTCTGCTGT